AAAAAAAAAAATATATATATATATATATATATATATATATATATATATATATATATATATATTTACGAACGGAGAAACGATGGAGTTTTTTCTGCATTGCACGAGAAAACGAATTTTTATGTTACGAAAGCGTCAAGATTCCATTTTACATGTGGTTCAGATATTCGTTGAAACAAATATTCGAGAAACATTTGTTAACATGGAGAAACTTAGCAGAAATATATTTCTTTATTATTATATTGTTTAAACGAGACGTTTAACGAAATATATTTCGCTAATTTTGAGGGTAGTTTTCACCCCCTTCAACATCGATCGTTGCCGACAAAAAAAGAGATACGGGAATATTTTTTTTTTTTTTTTGAGAACTACATTAACGCCAAATTTCGTTCAAACATTGTCATGTGATTTTCTGTTCTTTTTGTATGTTATCGACCATGTTTCGTTCCAGCAGTAGCGTGTACAGTTATGTTCTTCACCGATTCGAATTAACCTCGCACGGAGGCACGCACATAGTCCGGCGATCAGCGTCTTTAAATATTAAACGTCGCCTCACGGTCGCGGAGAGAAATAAACGTGTCGTTTCTCGGTGCAAGTTTTCCCATTTAATATTTAAAAAAAAACCGATCGATCGTCGATCAATCACTTACCGAGCACTGGCAATCGTCCAGAGATGGGGACACAACCATCGAGACACGTGACAAAGAACAACAACACGTGAGCAAAAGCATGCGTTCTTCACATCGAGGGGAACGAAAAAAATTCAAAAGAACGTCAAACAAGGAAGGAAACGAAAAACAAATGCTCGCAACTCGAAAAGAAAAAAAATATATATATATGTATGAAGCAAGCTGTACGTCGTAAGGTACGCCTCGCGAGACAGTATGGCCGCACGTAAGGGGAGAAAATAATCACTGACGACAAGAGAAAGTTGAGAAAAATGTAGCGACGTTGGTTCACTTACCCCTCACAAGCACCGACTGATCTTTGCCCGTTTTATCCAAACTCGATATCCTCCCAACACCTCTCCATACATTATCTCGGCGATGTGTTTCACGCAAATTCGATTTCTCTACGTTTTTTCTTTTCTTTTCTTTTTTTTTTTTTTNTTTTTTTTCTTCTTCTTCTTGCGAATTAGCCCTTTCAGCGGTAAGCAGTTTTCGACGAGCGAACTCTATGGCAATTTGCTTCAAAGAATTTCTTCTCACGTCCCACTTTTTTTACAATGTGTATCGATTCGAACAGAGGCTTGGAAATTTTTTAGATGATCCGAGACGAGACAAATTTAATGACAAATTTAATTTCTTGGAAATATTTTTTCTTTTTATTTTTTATTTTTTTTTTTTTTTTTTTATGTAGTTCAGTTTTGTAACATCTTCTAAATTCTTCGAAATAGCGTTCCATTCCAAATTGATACGTACGTACGTAATCACACTCACACACTTGCCAAGCGGAATTTAAATTACTACTGTCTGGAATACTTGAATCAAGTGCCTTGGGAAAATAATAATAAACAAACTGCAGATAAATTACTACTGTTAAATTAAATTGCTACTGTTTGGAATGCTTGAATCAAGCGCCTTGAGAAAATAATAATAGACAAACTGCAGATTTTTATGCGTTAATTATACACTCTCTGCGCGAACGAGTGAATGTATTTTGATATGATTGAAATAAAAATTCGACGATGCGATACTTTTGTATCTAAAACTATAACGATAACCATTAAACACATCATCAAATTCGCTGATGAAAAGAAAAAAGAAATACTTGGTTACTCGAAAAATTACTTAAGAAATAAATATACTTAAAAAATTAATTTCATCAATTTGCACGAAAGCTGCAACTTTCGCAATTACCGAGATAATTATTTGATCAAATAAATTCTTAACTCTGAGGGTAATTTGCATCCCTTCGATACAAACAATTTATCGACAGAGAGGAAAAAATAAATAAATACACGTGTCAAACATTTCCTCGCGAAAACTGCTTTGATTTTAATTAAAAATTTAAGTGAAATTTAATCAATCAAAATCACTGACAAAAACACATATAAAATTCCATAAATATCCGCAGCCTGTGCACAACCACAAAATTTCATTTCGACTACATTCGAAACTATTTAATAATTCTACCAAGGTGTCTAAATTTGCCACACACCGCTGAAAGGGTTAACATTGCGACAACATTTATTTACAACAACAAATCCGTGTCAATTTCATTCTCTTGGAGATTATTTTAGAATTTCACAGAGAGAAATTCCTCTCTCTTTCTCAATTTTTTTTTTTTTTTCTTTTCTTTTCTTCTTCTTTAATGCCTGATCAAGAGACACGCTGCCAATCGAAATTGGATGATCGCGAAACTCACCTTTATTCCGAGGGTAGGAGTCAGCATCCCATAGTCGGTAAGGGGTGGCAGCATAACGGGGGGTAGGTTTGCCATCATCATACTGTCTAGAATCTTCGCACGTACTTTCCCTTCGTGCACAGAACACAAATCAATTTATTGCTTACTAGACCTACCTGGAACACAGAAAACAAAACACAGGGAACGTTAACTGAGCACGACGACACAAGGACACAGTGGAGAAATTGAGAGAAAGTTGTTAGTTGGTACAAACTACGAAATTAATCTTACATCTGGAATGTTTACATAGACGGGTGTCTAAAAAAAAAGTTACTACAGTATTTCTCTTTCTAGAGTTGAAAAAAGTATTATTTGTCAGAGCGAGAGAGTAAAGATTATTTCTCTTCGTTGACAGTGAATTTTGAATCTTTTTTTTTTTTCACGCTGTTATAATCATCTTGATACAATGTATCAGTAATATCCAGTGAGTGGCTTTTTATTCAAATTTAATAAACACTCAATCAATTTATAACAATTTAATAAAATAAAATAATTCATAACAATTTAACAAAATAAAATAATTTACAAAATAAAAAAATTTATAAAAATTTAATAGAATAAAATAATTCATAATAATTTAACAAAATAAAATAATATACAATAATTTAATAAAACGAAATAATTTACAATAATTTAATAAAACGAAATAATTTATAAGAATTTAATAGAATAAAATGAAATTTCGTACAGTATGTATATTTAATCGTCGATTCGTGAATTTCTTAAATCAATTTACTCTAAATTGCGTCCGTCCTGCATCGATATTATCACTCGCGAGTTTATCATTTACTTGGATTATTAATTCCACTTTATCGTTTCGAATAGCACAACGATCGTCGTCGCGATAACGATGATTTTCGAGTGCCCGAGAGTTGGTTTTATCAAGCCAAAAGTACAAGACGAGAGCGCGCTCTCTCTCTCTCTCTCTCTCAATAGTTGGCAGCTGATAGCTGAAAGCAGCGAAAATCGTTAGCAGAGGGAAACGTTAGCTTCTTGGAAACGCGCCGCTTCTGGCATCGAGATGGTAATTCCGTATCCGCACGCACGTTCCCCCGTGTAAATCGCTGGCTTACGGGCTTGATTGTTTGCTCGGCAGCTAATTAAAGTGTACTTAGAGACCGGTTTCGTTCGGTTCCTGGGATCGTCGCAGCTGTAAATCTCCGCCATCTCGGCTCCCCTCGACCGTGGAAACAAACGTGCTCCCCCTTTTTCCCTCCGATCGACTTCCTGCTCGCCGTGCCTCTTGCAAAAATATCAAATCCAACCCCTTCTCTCTCTCTCTCTCTCTCTCTTTCTTCGGCAAAAATAAGGATTTCTTTTTTAAATGACGTGAGAAATGTCTACTTCTACTTTCTGGCTAGCGTTTACGAAATTAAGAAATTTGGAGATTCTTGAAAAGTTGTTAAAAAAGAAATAATACAGCTTTAGGAAGAGGAATAATATGAAAAATTCCCGAAATTTGGTGAGAATGACCGGCGTTTCGATTAAGAAATTCGGAAATTTCTTAAAAATTGCTAAAGAATGAAATAGCTTGGCGAAAAAAGTGTAATATGAGAAATTTCTATATGTTTCTGTGTCTAATTATTTTCTAACTACCGTTTCGATTAAAAAATTCGGAAATTCCTTAAAAAAATGCTACCTTGAAAATAAAAATAAAATAAGAACGAAACAGTTTCACAAAAGAGAATTTAATATCGGGAATTTCCGAAGCGTTTCGATTGGTAAAATGATATTCTCCAGTTCCGCAAATTTATTATTTCTCAACAATTCACGAATTTGAATCCGAAATTTGATTTCTCAGCGATTTGTCAAAGGATCCTCGAGTACGTTTCAGCCGACGATTTGAACGAGTTCGAGGGTGTGCAGCACGCACGATCGGAGGCGGCGGATTTAGCCCTTAGACCACGAAAACAGCGTGGAAACACGGTGTTCGGGGAAAACAGAGATTCCACGAGAGGTCTTACGTCGGCTTTGCCGGTTAAGCCGCCATGGATCGTGCTGTTACAACGTTTCCCTCCGCAACAACCCTCGACGCGGTTCCTTCATCCGCGGATCGACCACCGTGCCACGTGGCACACAATCTAACTTTCGAGCCCCGGCATCTTTCACGATCTTGTCTGTGATACGTTAAATGATCGCTTAAAAATCAAAAGACATTACGACACACAACAGATACACGTCAACTTTGTTTCAGTTACTTAAGTACGGAGACAAGAATTTTGAAATAAACATATTTTTAAGAAATGAAATTATAAATAGTATAATAATGTATTATTAACACTTTAATATAAATGCATAATTAATATTATAAAGTATAAAATATATGTATATTGATACTTGATATAAAGTATAAATATATTAATAGTGTAAAGTGTAGAATATATGTATATTGATACTTGATATAAAGTATAAATATATTAATAGTATAAAGTGTAGAATATATGTATATTGATACTTGATATAAAGTATAAATATATTAACAGTACAAAGTGTAAAATGTACGTATATTGATACTTGATATAAAGTATAAATATATTAATAGTACAAAGTGTAAAATATATGTATATTCATACCTGATATAAAGTATACATATATTAATAGTACAAAGTGTAAAATATATGTATATTGATACTTGATATAAAGTATACATATATTAACAGTACAAAGTGTAAAATATATGTATATTGATACCTGATATAAAGTATAAATATATTAATAGTACAAAGTGTAGCATATATGTATATTGATACCTGATATAAAGTATAAATATATTAATAGTACAAAGTGTAAAATATATGTATATTGATACTTGATAAGTATAAATATAAACGATAAAGTATAAATATATTAATAGTATAAAGTGTAAAATATACGTATATTGATACTTGATATGTAGTATAAAGTATATTAACAATATAAAGTATAAAATATACTTTAGTATATCGATACTTAATATAAAGTATAAATATATGTATATTAATACTTAATATAACGTATAATAAATAGTATACACAATAACAAGAAACACACGCCACAAGAAACGTAATGGAGAATGAAATGCAAAAAAAAATATGCGAAAAACATGCAGGAATTCGTCGACTCCACTTTCGATCTTTCCCCGATTAAAACTGTGAAATCCATCCCGAAACGAGGAGAACGAAAACGAAGGAAATTAACAACGGAACGCGCGCATCGAAACATCGAACAAACGAGCATGAACGCGAGAGAACAACCGTATGCAAACGCTTCGCTCGCGGCCACTACCCCTTCGGTGGAATGTGTGTTTTGTGTGTGTGTGTATGTATGAAGACTGTGCCGTTCCACCCGCTACTCGCTGGCCAGGCGGTCTTCTTTTTATTACTCCCCCCCCCCTCCCTTCTTTTTTATACGAACGGATATTTTATTCAGCGGCACTCGACCAGGGTTCTCGCGGCCGTTTGATATCGCAGTCTCATTGCATAAAACTCGAGGCTTGCATAAAACAGCGCCGGGGGGACCAGCCTGTTTCCTCGAAGCGAAGACACGAGGAGGCTGGCCCCGGCTCTGCAGGATGGCAGAGAAAAAGAAAAAGAAAAAGGAAAAAAGAAGGAGAATTCATCGGACGTAGGATTAAACGACGCTGCGAAAGTGCAAAATTTCGAAGGGCGCGGGAAGGGTGGCGATCGATGTCCTTGACGATCATGCCGGCGAACTTGAAGATGCAGAAGCATCCAAGATTTATTTGTTACAATGTTATGCAATTTTATATATACATATAATGTGTATTTTATATATACATATACATATTATACACTATATAATATATATTTTGTACAATTTTATACATAAATATTACACACTATATAATATGTATTTTGTACAATTTTGTATATACATATTATACACTATATAATGTGTATTTTATACAATTTTATATATACATATTATACGCTATATAGTATGTATTTTATACATATTATACTCTATATAATGTGTATTTTGTATAATTTTTATATATACATATTATACACTATATAATGTGCATTTTATATAATTTTTATATATAGATATTGTACACTGTATAATGTGTATTTTATATAATTTTTATATATACATATTATACACTATATAATGTGTATTTTATATAATTTTTATATGTACATATTATACACCATATAATGTGTATTTTATATAATTTTTATATATACATATTACACACTATATAATGTGTATTTTATATAATTTTTATATATACATATTATACACTAGATAATGTGTATTTTATACAATTTTATATATACATATTATACGCTATATAGTATGTATTTTATACATATTATACTCTATATAATGTGTATTTTATATAATTTTTATATATACATATTACACACTATATAATGTGTATTTTATATAATTTTTATATGTACATATTATACACTATATAATGTGTATTTTATATAATTTTTATATATACATATTATACACTATTATATACTCCGTCCCGTAGAAACAAGAATATAAGAAACGCGTGATTAATCAAATCTGATCATTCGTTTATCACTCACGTATGTACATGCATGCGTGAGTTGCAAACGAGAAGTTTCAGCGAGAGGAAAAGAGAGAAGAGTGGACGCTTGAAATTTCCATTCTCACGTCGCGTCGCGCTCTTTTCATCGCATTTTTCTTCCCTCCCATTGCCACCGCTCGCTCCTCGCACGCCGGAGTTAATCGCCGACGAATTAGCCACGGTTGGATACAGAATTAATCAAACGCGACCGGTCTCCTCCGCGCCAGGAACACCGGGGCGGCTCGCGGCTGGAAATAAAAGCGTGGCAGGTGGACAAGCGTCCGAGCCGTGGCTCTATCCGCTGGAATTAACGCGGAATAACGCGTGCAATTATCGCTTTGAGTGAAGCGTCGCTGCTCTCCCGCACAGAGGAGAGGTCACACGCTCGCTGGCTTTGCTTCTTTACTTTTTGTCGAAACGGAGAAGAGGCGAGGGATTAGCCCACCGGGCGAGCTTCCTCGATGCTTGAACGCGAGAAAAGCTGAATTTTTGAGGAACGCCTGCGCGCAGTGTGACTACAAAGAATTTGTCTTTAATCACTTTAAATTATACATGTATGTCACGGTGTTGTGCGGAGAAGAAAATATTGTACAGCGATTTTTACTTTTGATTATCCGAATTCGTTGAATTTCTGTATAAATATTCTACAAATTTTGTACAAATATCAAAAGTTCTGAAATTTCAAAATTTCAGCACGGCGGCAGAGTTTTCGAAATTCTTCTGCCGAAATAATTTCCAAGATGAAAGAAACTATTTATTCCGAAAAAATTTTTAAAAATTATCACTTCCAAAAAATTATTATTTAAGCTTTCCAAAGAAAGAAAAATTATTCATCTTACGAGCAATAAAAATGACAAATTTCCCAATAACAATATTCGAAGGGCGAGCAACATCCTGCGTTTGCAACAAGTCGCAAACACTCGAGCGGTGAGAAGAAGAAAAAGAGAAAGGACGAGAAAAAGGGTTAAAGGGTTCTCGTTAAAGTAACGCGATTAAGTTGGGCGTACGTTTCGCCGAACGTGAAAGTTCCGCGAGAAGGCGCTGTTGTGTTTTGCCCGAGCAAAGGGAGAGAAAACGCGATGCAAAAGCCCTCGATATTGTCTTTGAATATCGTACTGAATGTTTCACGAGATGCACTCTCGAGTCTTCCGCCCTCTGTTTCCAGCAACGTTTAATGGGAAAAGAGCGCGGAGATAATTCGAAGAATTCTCCTAAGCTGGGGACTCTTTCTCTCTCTCTCTCTTTCGATCGACGTTCCCCACTCTGTTCGTTGAATCTTTCACCAAAAAAAAAAAAAAAAAAAAAAAAAAGGTTCTCTCACGGTAGTTTCCTCCAGGTTTTTAACGTGCAAGAAGTTCCGCAGTTAAGTGGAGAACGTTGTTTGCGAAGAGAATGGAGGGCTGTAAACGAACACTTTACGCATCCGTCCGATGGAAATTCACATTTCAAACCGCCCCGAAGCGATAATGTTTCAATAAACATTCCCCTTAATAGACAAACTTGCCAATAAACTCTTCTTAATATTCTAGCCATTCAGTCTTCTTGATATTCAGACGTCGAGTTGGTTAGGTTTAGGTTACACCCTGCGTTACCCTTTCGGTCTCACTTTCACATGTTTTGA